GGAAGTCCTGTTTCGGGCATCGGGACAAGTTTCGGGGTTATCGGTATTGTACCGGGACCACCGGAAGGGTCCCGGGGGTCCACCGGGTGGGTCCACCTGTCCCGGGGGGCCACATGGGCTGTAAGGGGGTGCGCCTTGGCCTAATGGGCCAAGGGCACCAGCCCCACATAGGCCCATGCGCCTAGGGTTTAAAGGGGGAAGAGTCCTAGGAGGGTAAGGCACCTCCTAGGTGCCTTGGGGGGGAGGGAAACCCCCCTTGGCCGCCGCACCCCCTAGGAGATTGGATCTCCTAGGGCCGGCCACCCCCCCTTGGCACCCCTATATATAGTGGGGGAGAGGAGGGACTTCATACCTGAACGCCTTGGCCTTTGGTTGCCTCCTTCTCCCTCCCCAACACCTCCTCCACCTCCATAGTGCTTAGCGAAGCTCTGCCGGAGTACTGCAGCTCCATCAACACCACGCCGTCGTGCTGCTGCTGGTGCCATCTCCCTCAACCTCTCCTCCCTCCCTTGCTGGATCAAGAAGGAGGAGACGTGGCTGTTCCGTACGTGTGTTGAACGCGGAGGTGCCGTCCGTTCGGCGCTGGTCATCGGTGATTTGGATCACGTCGAGTACGACTACATCATCACCGTTCTTTTGAACGCATCCGCTCGCGATCTACAAAGGTATGTAGATGCATCTAATCACTCGTTGCTAGATGAACTCCTAGATGATCTTGGTGAAACGAGTAGGAAATTTTTTGTTTTCTGCAACGTTCCCCAACAACGTGATCGGAATCGATCTGAGTAATCGCGCGAAGCGACGCGAGGGGCAACGCATGTCCCATTCAGGAGAAGCGAAGACCCGGTCAAGGACCTACCGGGTCGGGTCCGCTTGGCGGTTAGTCCAGGTGAACCTAGCACCAACCCTATCTATCTCCCGGAGCCCCATGTCCGTGATGTAGTCGTTAAACATTTGCATCCGAGGGAAGTTGATCAAATTATTGCTCTTATCCTCCTCAGACCGGATGAGGTTAAAGTTGCCGCCCACCACGACCGGTAGCTGGGCGGCCAAGACCTTCATGCGGATCTCAGCAAGGAAGGCCTCAGATCGGCTATGATCTGCTGGTCCGTAGACGGCAATGATCTCCCATTTGAAGTTGAGTGCCCGCTCAAAGATCTCCATGCCGACGAAGAACTCGCCCCGGTCCATGCTTCCTACCTCAAAGGTGGCATCCTTGACTCCTAGAAGGATGCCACCCGAGTGGCCTGCGCTCCCACTAGAAGGGAGCCAGTGCCAAGCAAAGAGGTCGGAACTCAAATGTTCGAGTTCCGAGAGAGAAAATTCAGTGTGCGTCGTTTCTTGAATGGCCACAATGTCTATACGCTCGTTCCTCATGTACTCGATCAGTTGGCGGCGCCGGCCGTCTTGACCGAAGCCGTGGATGTTCCAGAAGAGGGTCCGCATCACGAGATCATCGGGGGGCTACTTGACCCCAAGACTCGGGATGTTCCGCAGTACAAGTACATTTTATTATAGAAGCGATTGATCATTGCAGATCCTAATAGTATGCTATGGCCAGTATGTAGAACAGATGAGCGGTGCATATGCATATGCTTGTGGTTGTTTCCTTTTTATATCTTCAGTAGATGATTTGGCGCTGAGAATAGGCTGATTCGTTTCTAATCTTTTGTTGTTTCCTGGCGCTTTAGTGTTACATCATCGGTTTGACTGATTCAGTTTCTTTTTTCTTTGGAATCATTATGTATCTCGATTTCTGAACCATGGAGTTTGGTAATATAACTACCTAAAATTTGACAAGATCATCTTCAATATCATGTACTAATGATGTACTAACTCTGAAATGTACAAGATATATTGGAGTACATTTCATAATTATAGAGTTATGCATGCTGCATGCTGCTTCCAGTGTCACATTTGATTTGTAGTTTTGAGCTCCGAATTTTGATTGCAACTTTGAAGCACTTGTATGGTTTGCCGGATGAGGCCGGCGATTTTGCTGCTTCTTTGAATCATCTGTTTCCGTGGAAGTAGCCACTAAAATGGATGCTAATCTGGCACAAGTTTAGACGCATCGATTCCGAAGTTTCGTAAAGTGATTTTGAAGTTTTTTTTTGCGGGATAGTGATTCTGAAGTTCAAGTACCATATATCTTGGAAACATTAGCAAAGACCGATGAAGCAGTTATCTGCTACGTGGGGGAACAATGAACAAACTTGGTGAAGAGCTTGAGCACTTAACTTTCAAGGAGCCACACACACCCTTAGTAACTAGAGCATCTCCAACAGGACCCCCCCTCCCCTCGATTTCTTTTTGAATTTCTATATGTGTAATTACTTCGGAACTTGAATCTGGGTCCAGTTTTCTAGTCGTGTCCCCAATCAAGAGGACCCGTCTCTCAAGTCGACCAGGAAGATGATAGCCCTGTATTTCCACGAAAGTATAACTCTCACCATCAGGATACAATCCTTTCTTTGGGCAGGCAGCCTGGACAAGAAACGCCACCCAACCAGACCCCCAAAACCATCCCAAATGTGAAGGCTATCCGATACCCCTCAACCCCAGCCCAATATGTGCGGGGATTTTGGGCCATCTGGACGCGTCCACCACGTCTGATCCGACAGGCCGGACCCATTCAAAATTCCTCCAAATTGATCGATCCACCAAATCGCCCGCACGTCTTCTAAAAAAAAAACTAAATCGCCCGCACTCTCTCCCGTATCCGTCCACCCTTTCCGGCCGCCATATAGGATGGCTCCATGCAGTCTGTGGGGGTCCCTACCGTCGTGAACAAGGTGAAGAAACTAACTCGGCTGCATATGCTTCCGGTTTTGTTGTGTTTAATTTCAGTTATACCGAATAAGCACTCAAATTTTGTTGGACTATGCATCGGTACACTAATTCTCTGAAGTTCCTGTCTCTGATGAATGCACCTGAAGAAATTGACAACTTCTCCGAGGAATTCGACAGCTACCAGAAAGACAGACGGCTAGGATGCGCTTCACTTGTCAAAGATCAACGCCCCTCGAAGACCAAGGGCTCCCCTGTTCAGTCAAGTGTCTGACAACGGCTACAGTTGACTGAAGTTCTTTTTGAAAACACACAGTTAACTGAAGTTTAACTACTGTGAGCTTCAGTTAACACCTTTTTCTACGGGGAGCAGTTAACTCTGTTCACTGTGTGTAATTTCAGTTCCTCCCATGATTCTTTGATCCTGTTATCATCTCGGTCACCAAGTATTATTATCTGTAGCTACTGCTAGAACTAGACTCCTTGGTAGATCAGATCGTTCCCCATGACCTGTGTCCAGTGACTTTAGTACATCATCCCTCCTTCGATAGCAGTAAGTACATCATATGTTTCGTGGTGCTTTAGTTTTACCTTTTATGTTTGACTGATTTAGTTTCAGTTAAATTTTGCAAAATATTGTCCGGTTTTAAACCCGGCCGGGAGTTTGGCGAGAGGGGGGCAGCACAGAGGAGGGAGCGCGAGTTTGATCCATAGTACTCCCTCCGTCCGAAAATAGTTGTCATCAAAATGGATGAAAAGAGATGTATCTAGAACTAAAATACATCTAGATACATTCCCTTTTACTCTTTTTGATGACAACTATTTTCGGACGGAGGGAGTAGCTGTGACTTTTGAGGTGCTGTTTTTAAGGTTGGTTTGACTCTTCATGCTGCCTTCGGTGTCACGTTCCAAGATAGATGTTGCCTGTTGGCAGTTTTCAGCTCTGAATTTTGATTGCAACTTTGAATCACTCGTATGATACCCGTAATCAGGCCATTGAATTGGATGGATGCTAATTTGGCGCAAGTTTTGACACCTGGATTCTCAAATTCATAACTCCAGTATAAATTATAAAATGCCCAACATGCTAATTCAAATACACTTTCAGGCAAAAAAACGTCAAAGACAAAGGACAGACGAAACATCACACTTGGATACACATTCGTTAAACTTTGGTTCAAACGAAATGAGTACACAGTGCTTCGTCGCTACTGTTTCAGTTTAAGCTAATTACATGCGACCATGATTATAAATTCTAATAACATGCTACGGCCAACACATACTATTGAACTTCTCCATACGCTACAAGCCTGACGCAAAGGCATGGATTCATGTTGTGCTTAATTGTCCGTGCCATAACATTGTTTCCAGACATCACTTCGGTTCGGTTCGCCATCAACTGGGAGCACCTGCACTTTCAGATCAGGCCTGTGAGGCTGTGACCAACTCATATCTTCATTCCCTTTGCTATTTGTATAGAAGAAATGCGATTTTGGAGCATTTTTCATTTCAGAAACAGTTCTTCGTTCTATAAGACTTGCCAATTTAATAAGCAAATTTTCTCTCTCTGACCTACAGCTTGCTTCTATAATGCCATTTGTATTTTGCTAACTAAATCTGAAAGAAGTAAAAATGTCTCTGCACTTTTTCAAGCCACGCACTTTTTATCCCTGAAAATTTCTCCTTATAAATTGGTCTTTCATACAACAGAATCTCTCAACTACCAACTCACATTATAGATTTACATCGATTACCCCTGCCAATTTGACAGTTCTTTCTCTTGTGTTACAATGATGACAAGTCGCGCTACTGACGAGCTGCGATTCATCGCGTCTTGGAAAGACCCAAGGGCCTCCGGAGCCATGGTGGACTGGCAGCGAGAGGGCACTGAGACGAATCTGAGAGGAGACAAACTTTTATAGAAAGTCAAAGGGAGAGGGGCAACAAATGCTCAACAAAGGGAAGGAACTTCTGAAAAAAAAATTAAGAGCAAGTCTTACAGGTAGCAGAGAAGCACTCTAGATAAAATCAACAAACTGATAAATAAAAAGTTCTGATTTGGACAGGTTGATTAGGGCGACTTTCACGCCATTTATATCACTTCAGAATTAACCTAACCACTCTTGGATTCATCTAACATTGAGCTGATCATCCCTACGAAAATTTGGTACGAGAAATTTAGCAAATCTACCAATATAGTTGCTCATGCTTCATGAAAACTTCCTTCTCTTCCCCAGTTCATCCACAATGAAAGATGGGCAAGTCGCCTTGAGATCCTTTAAGCGTTGGGTTCCCACCACATCATCCATGAAATTTGATAATTTGATAAATTCAAGGCAAGCATCCTTAAGCTGGTGGCAGTTATGTCGCTCAGCAAAAGCCAATGTGGTTGTGATGGTGTCCACATTCAAATCCTCGCAAAGGATGCTTTGGCAAACCAGCTTGAGCCTATCCATTGCATATCTATCCGCGGCCACTAGTAAAAGCCGGATCATCTCTGTATCCTCGCTGCTAGGCAAAGAGTCAGTATAGATGAAATGGAGCAGGGCCTTGAAAATGGCAGGTTGCGTGTCCTTGATGGTTATGCACTCCCCCAGCCTCGCCTTCTGCATCGACCCATAGAGCTCTGCTTTGAAAACAGGCGACCTCATAGTGAGAACAAACCTATGTGCTTCAATAGTCTCTCCTCCAACAATGAAACTCACATCAAATCCTGTCATTTCTTCAAGTAGCTTGCTGACATTCTCAGTCATGTCAGGTTGTGGCATGTCGATTTTGGGGAATGATTTGGTTTCAGTAACATGTGGCATCTTGAAAACAGTGACGATGCATTCGATCGTCAAGCGATCATCCCTAAGGTACGGAGATCCCTCAAACTCACTTCGCCTCATGAAATAAGGAGTCTCAGGAGCAAAGTTAGTGAAGTCACCGGAACTGAAAGTTCTAAGTTCTGTTTTATGCACTGAAAATGGGAATCCAGTGTACTGGTCCACGAGCCTCATGTCACAGGATGCCCGGAGTTTAACATTGTTGCTCAAAAGAATGAGATATACTGAGATGTAATCTAGGCCATATCCATTAAGCCTGTCGGGATAGAAGAAGATTCCCCAGTCATGGCTGCCGACGGAGAAAATCCCAGACCTTATGTAGCTATCCAGGTCATGGCCCATGCCCTTGTGCTTGCTGTAACCCAAGATATCAAACACATGTGTGCCTTGATCCTCCTCTAGTGGGGTGCACACAGACACCGTCTTACATGTTTTCATCTGGTGACCAGGAGGAAGATTGCCGGACGGAATAGAAAAAATTGCTGCCACGGTGTCCCGCACTAATCTGATGGTGTTAAAGAAAAGGGGTATTAATCACAGTGGAAAGCAGAGGGAAAGAGAAGCAGCACAAGGGGGAGCGGATCGAACCTTCAGGTCTGTGATGGAAGAAGGCGGCGGTGGCGAGATGAATATGAGATGAAACCACGATACTCGCTGGGCGTGGGGTTTCTGGTATCCAGCACTCCTACGGAACCGGATAGAAACAGATACCAGATTGGAGCAAGATTAGTTGGTTATAGAACGCTAGAAGCTAGCGAACGATTGTGTTCGCTAGTACAACGTCCCAGCGCGGACCCTCTTTGGGCCCTGTCTATAAAAAGGCCCAGAAAAACAAAATCTCAACATAAAAAAACAGAGGGAAAAAAGCACGGGGCCAATTGAAAATCCGAAAATCTAGGAAATTCATAAATGTATGTCCACATGATTTTTTGGGCCGCACTACGCATTGGCCGGCGGATCGTTTTGAAACATCTGCCGCCTCCTGTGTCATTGGATTGAGGCATAAATAGCCGTTTGATCTCCCAAATGAGGCGCGTGAGGAATTGCAACAAGGTAGATGTTGCACAACTCGCTCTGCAACAATTGCTTTGTTGCAAAACCACTAAAGCATTATTTTAATCCAAATTTTTTTCTTCAACTTTTTTGCAACATAGATGATGTTGCGGGAGAACATTTGCAACAATGGTGTTGTTGGAGAATTATTTTTTTCGTCTTCACCTTTTTGCAAGATAGATGATATTGCGGGAGGACTTTTGCAACATGAATAATGTTGCTGATTTTTTTTCATTGAAAAGATGTTGGCATCTGCGGTGTGAATCAAGAAATTTATGCAACGAGGATGATGTAGCGAGAGGACTTGTTGATGTTGCAGATTTTTTTGGCAATGAATGATGATGTCCCAGTAGCACCATCGTCGTTGCCGTCGCCTTTTGCATCTCTGTTGTTGCAACTGCAACAGAGAGACGACCGATGATGGTCGGGGATGACATGGATGAGGACGGGGGCGCCTGTCCCAAGCTCGGGAGCACCGCGATAGCCGACAGCCCTACGGCGGCCGACCTTCATGGTGGAGATGGGTGGCACCGGAGGCGCCCACACCCAACCCAGATGCAACGGCATCAATTTTCATGTCACGTGCTACCTCATCTCTAATGGCTAGGCCTTATCCACTCGTGTGTGTGTGTGTGAGAGAGAGAGAGTTCAAAGAGGGAAGAAAGGTCTAGCGCTGGGTGGGCTGCCTCCTTATCCTTTCCTCAGATAAAAAAGAGAGATCGACTAGAAAACGAAGGCCCGACACAGGACACATGTCACACGGACGAGGCGGCGGATGCTCGCATGTGATCCGCCGACTGAAGGTAACCATTTTCCTTATTGCCATGCTCTAGTGAATAAAACTAGGAAAACTATTCCCATCAGCCGGCGGATGCTACTATTGCATTTTTTTCCATCGATAGACACGTGTCCTTGCGGTCCGAAGCAAGACCTGCCCCTTGTCTAGAAAAATCACGAGCATTGCATCTCCTTCTCCGCCTCTTTATGCCTACTTGCAGCCATGGCCACCACTCGAGTGTGCACGCCCAAGCACCGCTCTGGCCACCATTGGCCCAGCTACGCCACTCCAACCTCCCGTCTCGTCCTCCGCCGTCGCTCTGGCCGGCGATGCATTTTATACTTATCGCAACAAGCACCTTGTTGCATAAGTCCTCCCGCAACATCATCTTTGTTGCATAACTTACTCAATTCACACCGCACACGATGTCAATATTTTCAGTGAAAATCTTCGCAACATCATTCATGCAAAAATCCTCCCACATCATCATCTATGTTTCAAAATGTAAAGACGAAAAAACCCCGCAACAACGCCTATATTGCAAAAGTCCTCCGGCAACATCATCTATGTTGCAAAAAAAGTGAAGACGAAAATAAAAAAATTCCAAGCAAAAACAATGCTTTCGGTGTTTTTGCAACAAAGTTGTTGTTGCAGAGCAAGCTACGCAACATCTATCCTGTTGCAATCGTAACACACCTCATCAGGGAGATCTGACGGCTATATGTGGCTCAATCCAGTGGAGCAGGAGGCGGTTGATGTTTTCAATTAATCTACCGGCAGATGCGTGCACTCCCCATAATAAAACTACCATATATTTTTTAAAAAAATCATAGTGTAACTACAACAAGCACAAAAAAATGACATAGTTAATGAGTAGATTTAGGAAAAATACGCAACACCGGGGGCAGCCTTCATGTTGATGTTATATAGGATTACATGCCTTGGACGCCAAGGGAGATCTTCATGATTCACAAAATATTCAGTAGGTTGAGATATTCCTATGCAAAGCAACTATACAGAAGAGTCAGGCAACCCAGTTATTTATCCATGACACAAGCCAGAATTGATGCATATAATGGCATAAGGTCTGAGGATGTCATCGGTGGCTCCTCAGAGCATCTGCTCCCGATAGAGTGGGGAGGAATGCTATCCAGCCAATGCCTCGTCGGCCCCTTGAGTTTGAGCGACAAGTACTTGATGGCGTGGATATCGTCTCTGTTGGCCATGTGGATGTGGAGGAGGAAATCATCAATCGACATGGCTGGATCGGTAGTTCCATCATACTGCTCGATGTTGATGGGCTTAAATCCATCCGGGAACTGATGTTCCATCACCCTGTTAGTGAAGCAGATCGGTTGAGCAGATCCTCTGAACCAAACAATGTCTTGCCGGACGTTGGGAGACATGCGGGCATAAGTTTGTTCCCAAGCTCGGTCATGCCTGTTCAACCAGGCATTGCAGCCGTTGCGCCCGGCCGGTGCACGCCCCCTTGATCCATAGATGGACGGAGTAGGGGATTGGTTAGCTTCTATCTGTCGCTGTGCGCCGTAGGGCTCGAGATATTCAATAGGGTATTTTTCGTCACGGCGTGTCGCTGTTTGAGCGTGTAAATTTTCTCTTGTTGGCTTGTCGCGCCCTTTAGGGGGTCGATCAAGTGATCGGCCCAACCGTGTATTAAAAGCATGTTGTCGGTGACCTCTTCGTCAAATTCCGGCAAAAGAAGCCGGCGGGGGTAAGACTTAGGCGTGGTGTGGTGCCATTCCTCGAGGTCTTGTTCGGCGAGAGGATTTCTATCCACTTGTCATTCAGCGTGCTTTGATCGGCTTGCAGCTGTTGTTGCTTCCTCTTCATACTCCTGGTAGTAACTACCAGACGCCGTCTGAACCGCTCCTGCTCAAAGGGGTCTTCGAGGACTACGTAGTCAGCGGTTTTGAGGCTGTCATCCTCCTCGGATTCAGGTAAATAATTGTTGTCAACCCCGTCGAAGAGATCATTGGGGTCCTCATCCTCAGATATTCCTGCGGGGCTGTTTTTATATTCTAGGGAGGCTTGAATGTCCTCTCCCTGGTTATCAGCTTCGCCGGCCGCTGTGCCGTCGGCGGCGGCGGTGGTGTCGTGACAGCTAGGCCCCTCGTTGGTGAAGGAAATATTCCCTAGAGGCAATAATAAAGTTGTTATTTATATTTCCTTATATCATGATAAATGTTTATTATTCATGCTAGAATTGTATTAACCGGAGATGTGTCTCGGTCATGTCTACATAGTTCTCGAACCCGTACGGTCCGCACGCTTAACGTCCGATGACGGTTTGTATTATGAGTTATGTGATTGGATGACCGAAGTTTGTTCGGAGTCCCGGATGAGATCATGGACATGACGAGGAGTCTCGAAATGGTCGAGAGGTAAAGATTGATATATTGGAAGGTTATATAAGGCTATCGGAACCCCTGGGAAAGTTATTGGGCCTAATTGGCCATAGTGGAGGAGAGGAGGCAGGCCACAGGAGGTGGGGCGCGCCCCCTTGCCCCAATCCGAATTGGACAAGGGGAGGGGGCGTGACCCCCCTCTTTCCTTCTCCCTCTCTCTCCCTTCCCTTTTCCCCCTCTCTGTTGGAAGGGAAGGAGGGGGGCGAATCCTACTAGGTTTGGAGTCCTAGTAGGACTCCCCCCCTTGGCGCGCCTCCCCCTTGGCCGGCCTCCTCCTCCCCCTCCTCTATATATGTGGGCAGGGGGCACCCTAAAGCAGAACAGGCAATCTCTTAGCCGTGTGTGGTGCCCCCTCCATAGTTTAACACCTTGGTCATATCATCGTAGTGCTTAGGTGAAGCCCTGCGCTGGTAACTTCATCATCACCGTCGCCACCTGTCATGCTGACGAAACTCTCCTTCGTCCTCAACTGGATCAAGATCTTGAGGGACGTCATCGTGCTGAACGTGTGCTGAACACGGAGGTGCCGTACATTCGGTGCTTGGATCGGTTGGATCGTGAAGACGTTTGACTACATCAATCGCGTTAATAAACGCTTCTGCTTTCGGTCTACATCGTGGACACACCCTCCCATCTCGTTTCTATGCATCTCCTAGATAGATCTTGCGTGATCGTAGGATTTTTTTTGAAATACTGTGTTCCCAATAGTGGCATCCATGCCAGGTCTATGCGTAGATGATATATGCACGAGTAGAACACAATGAGTTGTGGGCGATAATAGTCATACTGCTGCTCACCAACGTCTTACTTTGATTCGGCGGTATTTTTGGATGAAGCGGCCCAAACTGACATTACATGACCGCGTTCATGAGAATGGTTCTACCGACGTGCTTCGCACATAGGTGGCTAGCGGATGTCTATTTCTCCAACTTTAGTTGAATCGATTTTGACTACAGCCGGTCCTTGTTGAAGGTTAAAACAACACACTTGACGAAAAATGGTTTTGATGCGTAGGTAAGAACGGTTCTTGCTAGAAGCCCGTAGCAGCCACGTAAAACTTGCACCAACAAAGTAGAGGACGTCTAACTTGTTTTTGCAGGGCATGTTTTGATGTGATATGGCCAGACGTGATGAGATATAAATTTTTATATGAGATGATCATGTTTTATAAAAGTTATCGG